GATGAGTTTACACACACACACACCCCGGAGTGGCAACCTTGCACCCCGGAGTCGCAGCCTTTCGCCGCATGGTGTGCATGATGACACCCTCCACAGGGTTTAGGGTTTGGGGGGTTCAGGGTTTCGGGTTTAGGGTTTAAGGTTTAGGGTTGGGGGTTTAGGGTTTAGGGTTTAGGGTTTGGGGGGGATCTCGTGTTTATTTTTTTGGAGACCACAAGTGTGGGGCAACAGTCTTGCTTAGAGAAGTGCTGATGTTCGACTTACTAGACATCATAGTCGCAGCCTCGTGCCCCGGAGTCACAGCCTTTCGCCGCGTAGTGGGCGTGGTGACACCCTGCGAAGATCAACTACCTAGCCACCAACCTCAGCCACTTACCTATACATAACTATCTGGCTGCCTGCCTGCCTAAACCCTAAACCCTGAACCCTGAACCCTATAAACCCTAAACCCCAAACCGTCTCCGACCCTCCTGCCTGCTTGCCTATGGGTAGCTGCCTACCTACCTGCCATAGACGACTCCCATAATCTCACTGCCCTCAAACCCCCAAGTCTTGAATCTAAACCTTAAATCGGTTTAGGGTTTAGAGTTTAGAGTTTTGGGTTAAAAATCTGGAGCCCTGAAAGCTGTAACTAACATCTTGAGTAGGAACCCCAAAATACTGTGGGTAATTATTTCGGCCCCTGTGTTAACCCTCAACATCCTTGAGCACCACTTGCATGACGGTGGTGGCATCCACGGGTGCCTGTAGAGGACTTGCTGCAGCCCTGGCTGCCTGTCAAGAGTGTGTTTTTTTTGCTGGGGCTATATTAAACATGATCATGTTTAATCCTTATTGGGTTTTATGATAACAAACATGTAAAATGGTATCCAACAAGGACCCAGAAAAGTGTCGGTTGTTGTTGCACGTTTGGGGCTTCAGCGCTTGGTGCTCTAGAGTCTTCACAGTTGAGAGCTAGAAGGGGCTTAGGGTTTAGGGGGTTCCAGTGTTGTCGACCGAGTTAACCAAGGGTGCAGCACATTTGGAATCGAGGGATAACTACTAATACCAATATGCATGTCCCCAAAACCTGATTGAAATGCGTCACTGTGATACAGGTTTTCAAGGAGCCTGACAATGCTGATAAATGAGCTTCAAACGTACTCGGGATGGGTCAGGGTTTAGGGCTTAGGTTTACCGTCTAGCTTAGTTGCCTGCATGAGACTGCTGCGCGCTGGCATTGCCAGTGAGAAGTGCAATCTGAATAACATGCAATGATACGCTTTGCAGTGCTCCTGTGTAAACATTGCACAGCTCACCCCGCTCGATTGTATTAGATTGTAAAAACATCTGGAAAATCTTATGGATGACGGAGGCAGCAGCCAGCCGCTGAATGCCTAAATCCAGCGAGCCAGACAACAGCAAGAACCTTGCACAATGATACCATTGTCGACCCCTCCCCATCAATCCGAAACCTCTCTCCAGCGACTTCGTTTCTGACAATTTCACACAGTGGCCTGTGTGTAGACTTCGATGCTGCTCTTGCTCATCCTCTGCGCAGCCACTGCTTCCTGTGTGAATGTTCGTGTCTCCATCTTCGTCTGAGCATCCACTCGTCCCACTTGACAGCCTCCGTGGGGATATTTGCAGTGACTGAACTCTCCCAGAAATCGCTTCCGACGGCCCTTGATCCATGCCATAGGTCATGAGACTCCAGGAAGTAAGAGTTGGTAAAGCTTCGCCATCTACGTGGTGTTTCTGCAGGATTCTTGTGACCTCATCTGGAAGCACGTTTGGGGCTTCGATAGCCCACCACAATGGACACGCTCATGCTAGTACTTACTAGGTACAGTGTCGATGACAACTGCAGCCAACCCCCTAAACGACGACACCAAGCCGGAAACAGCTTCCCTTCGTGGTTTCCTAGCCCCCCGCCTTTACCCTAAACCCTAAACCGTGGTTCTTTCTCCTGTACATCACTTGGATTGGGGAGCCTCGGCATCTAAAGCGAGAGTACGAGCAGACTAAACCCCCTTGAACAATTGAAAAAACAGCGCTGTGTCGGAGATAGTATACTAAGTTATCGTAGGGGCTATGAGGGGGAATAGTACTAGTACTGTTCTGGGTTGTAGTTTTGGGGCCCTGAAAGTATTTATGAATAGGTACCTCTATAGAAGCCATAAGGGAAATTTTCAAGTTTCCCAAATTGCCACTGAGTATTTAGTAATCATATCGCCCAAACTTGAATGTGCCAGGGCACTTCCGGAGGCTTCGCTCGTAGCCGGCTTCAGCCAACACTTCAGCAACCCATTCTTGCGCCGAAGTCTCGTTCAACTGCAGCATTCCCTCGTAGGTAAGGGATCCCTCGTTCTCCTGGCACGTGTAGGGCTTGGAGGGTTTCGGGTTTCAGGTCTAGGGTTGGCTTCTAAAAACAAGGTAATGGCCAATAGGCCCTAGGCCGTGGGTTCCTGGGATGCTTTAGCTACTGCTGGAAGCCTGGTTGGGGTCGCATGCTGCCAGGATGTCGGCTAAGCCTACTTTAAACATCAATCCTGAACCTCTGAGATAAGCCTAAGCTGCCCTAAACCCTTCATTACCCAAGTCCTCTGGATCGAAAGTCTCACAGAAGAGCAGTGTGCTTTTGCCAGAGCTGTCTTCAGCATCCGGTATGGGCAAAGTCGTCGTCGTTTCCAGTTCACAAGCATCGGCTGCCCAGGTGTAGCCGGAGTCACAGCAGCAGTACTCCTGCAACTTCGACACTGCTAGGGTTTTTTATGTATATACAAAAGAATACAAGTACACACAAATGTGTATAAAAACACATATATACTCACATTTTTTGCGCACTTGTGTATCAGTTTCGTTTCGACAATCTACCCGTCATAATACAGGGTACCAGACTTGCTGAAGCCCTGGAGCCTCGTAAGCTCTCAAGCCCGGGACTCTTAGCTTGCCCTCGAAACCCTGAACCCTCCACCCTACAAATCTCTAGCCCACCCTAAACCCTAAACCCTAAACCCTAACATCCCTACGTAGCCCACCTTCATTTCGGGCAACCATGGCCCGGAGCAAGCGTGCATGTGCAGCCCACAGGACATCCACCAATTTGAACCCTCGATGGCAGGGCTGAGAACTCCTGGGTCTTGTCCAGGAATATTAAGAGGCTCAGGGTTCAAGGCATAAGGTTTAGGGTTTGGGGTTTAGGGTTTAGGGCTCAGGGTTCAAGGCTTAGGGTCTATAGGGTTAAGGGCTCAGGGTTCAAGGCTTAGGCTTTCGGGTTTAGGGTTTTAGGGCTTAGGGGCTTTAGGGCCTTTAGGGTTTAGGGCTCCTTCGGGTTTAGGGTTTAGTCTCGTCCAGGAATATTACCCTTACCCTCTAAGGACCCATAATTTTAAGGCTTTTGGGCCCAAAGACCCTATTATAGAAGGGGCTTACGGGTTTTGCGGGCTTAGGGGCTTAAGGCTTGGGATTTTTTGGGGTTAGGGCTTAGGGACCTATAGCGGTTCGCCCTTGGGACTACTACCCCCAAAAGGGTTAAAGGTTACCCAAACCACTACCAAGGCTCTGGTAGCTGCAATCAGACGTCTCCTGCAGGGCTTTACAGGGGCTTCATTCGAGATAAAAACCCAAAACCCGAATCCCCAAAGGGTTTGGGGTTTAGGGCGTAGGCTCCCTTAAGAGCCCTTTGAAGAGTTACTAGATGAAGGAACCTTGAAGACTCCACTCACTAACATGTATTTCGGCCCCTATACCAAATGGTCTGGCTTCTAGGGTTGGAACGGTTAGGGTTTAGGGATGTTATGGGAATTTGGCTTCAGGCTGTGATTTAGCTTATGATTCCGGGGCTTTGGGCGGGAATATCTGTTGTGTGACATGCCAGTGCTTCATTCATGACAAGTGGATTCGCAGTTTTCAATTCTCCAGGAAGAGTGGTTGGCAGGGGCAAGTCGCAGGAGGGCAGACATAGTGACCACAAGTCACCATGTGCAAAGTTCAGTGCGAGGACTTGCGGTTGCACCATTTCACGGTCCGAGAGTGCTTAGGGTTTCTATCTTGGGTTTCGCGGGTTCAATCGCCTCGTGCGCGGGGTATCATCCACTTCCGGGTTGATGTCCACTGCGATTAGGAACAAGATCAAAGCCAGGACCAATCTGGGTATCCAATAACTCAAAGCCCAACACGGCTTGCGTTGCCCAAGCGACGTTCCGCCTGTCTGCTTCTGTACCATCCTCTGACGCTGGAAAGCGTGCAGCGAATTCGAGAGCCTGTACAGCTAATTAGTGTGGTCCGGCTGAACCCAAAACCGAGCGACAACCTTCTAGCCCTTGCCCAGCAACTGGCAAGTAAAGGTGTTGTGGGTTTCCTCTCGCAGGTGCTTGGAAGAGGAGTCCTCCATATACTGCTGTTGCTGCTCTGCCTGAAGTTGGTGCTGGTGCAGAACAAGGAACTGATGATGCGGCTGATGCAGGTGATGATGATGATAATGATGATGGTGATGGTGGTGGTGATGATGATGACGATGTTGCGGATGATGTTGTTGATGATGATGGTAATGATAGTGATGACAAAATCATCAGCATGATCATGATCACCATGCTGGTGGTGCACACATGCTTCATGTTGTTGCTGTCATTGATGATGTTGCTGCCGTTGGTAATGACGGGTGTTTGTGACTTCACCATGCTGGTGGTGATCGTCGTTGGCGCTGACGGTGATTACACTCATGCATGCACTCGTGAATGTGATAAGATGGATGAAAAGTCAAAATAACCAACAAAATGATAAATCCAATGATAAATATGACCATGATGATGATGACGATGATGGTGATGGTGATTCCTATTAATGGTGCGACTGCCATCTGGCTACTGCCACACGTCATGGATGCCGAAGCACTATCATCGACATCTCGTTGGTAATCAACGTATTCTAACATACTTTAATGTAATACATTCCCATACACTAGAATATACCATGGTAGAGTCAGCGTCTTTGCCTGCGTCATCAGCTAATTCATCACAATCTGCAGCGATTGCCTTCGCTGCCCATACTCTCATTACTTTCACGATCATGAACATCGTCGCCATCATCGCTGCCAACATCAGCATGGCAAAACTCTCCAACACGGCTAAGATATGCTAACAGGAAGCCCTGGACACCTTAACCCCAATTACTACATCCTAAACCCGTACACCCCTGGACCTAAACCCCGAAACCCTTAAATCAGCAAACCCCTAAACCCTAAACCCTAAAACCCTGAACCCCGAAACCCTAAATCGTAAACTCTAAACCCTAACACCCTGAAGCCCTAAATCTGCAAAACCCGAATTTAGATCTTAAGCCTTATAATAAGCCCTAAACCCTCGACCCTCTTTCGCTGTCTTATCATCCATGTACCTATATAGTAGAAGCAAAGGCCTTAAAGTACGTATATAAAGGAGCTCCTTTAAGGCCTCAGTATATGGGTAGTTGTCGAAATTAGGGTCCCTTTTGGGGGTCCTTTACATAAGGGTGCCGTACTATATTCGGAACCTAAAGGCCTCAGTATATACTAGATGGGTACATGGAGCCTTTGGGATAGGCATGTCGATGTCAGGGCTTCGAAATCGTCCACCTACTATATTGGGGACCAGAAAGGGACCCGAATTTAGAGAACTACCACCTAAACCCTAAACCCTAAACCCCAAACCCTAAACCCTAAACCCTAAACCCTAAACCCTAAACCCCACATCGGCGGGCTCCGGAGCCTCCCGACGCTGCAGCGCCAGCGCTGCAGCGCTGGTGCGGCCAGGCATCGGCTTTCGGCTTTAGGGCTTTAGGGTTTTAGGGCTTTAGGGTTTAGGGTTTAGTGTTTAGGGTTTTGGGGGGTTTCGATGTTCCGGGTTCTTGATTTTTTGAGTTCAGGGTTTCTAAGACTCACAACTTATGGTTTGACGGCTTGGTGCTTTGGGACTTTTGGTTCAGGTTTCGGGGTTTGGGGCTTCAAGGGCTTAGGATTTATAGGGCTTAGGATTTTGGGCTTGGCTTTAGGGGCTTGGGGCTTTGATGGCTGAGGGTTCAGGATTGTGGGTTCGGATTTGGGGTTGGGCTTGATTGTACGGGCGCTCAGCGTGTATCCAGGGATGAGGCTAAGGAATTCATTCGGTCTCTGAGATTTGACCGGCTGAAACACCAACGAAATATCCTTGAAGAGTCTTGCTGATATAATAAACCCTAAACCCTAAAACCAACAGTACGAAGATGCTTGGACTCTCCAACGCTAGCGCCAAGTCACCACAAGTACTGCCTCTAATGCCACATGTTCAGAAAGCACAGCACAATCCAACCAATGGTCACCAGAGCATGTCAAAGACCACACGACATGAGATGAGCACAACCCTAACCCTACACCCCTCAACCCCTACACCCGTAAACCCTAAACCCCTAAACCCTAAACCCTAAACCCCTAAACCCTCAACCCCTAAACCCCTAAACCCTCAACCCTCGACGCAAATTGAACATTGGCATCAGCAGCTGGCCAAAAGGGAAACAAGCGAAACAGGCATGAACACGGTAACACATAATTATTACCTTGAGCTACCCAAACCTACTTTTTTGTAGGGTCCCTATAAATTTTATATTAGAGTTTAGAATAAGGACCTGCAAAAAACTAGGTTATGGCATCTTAAGGTAATGCAACACAAGATCCGAGAAGCCAGTGCACACAGGTTTTCATCCAGCCAGCGCTTTCTCATGTACATGGACCTCGCTTTGGTGATCCCTCGGCCTTTGCACAGCCAGAGTTCACAACATGCGTGAGAAGCAATTAGTGGCATCTTGGGCGGCTGACCAGTGAGACTTTTATTGGGGACCCAAAAAGGGACCCTAATTAGAGCACTGCCCATAGAGTGGGGCTCACAACGGCTTTAGTTTAGGGTTTAGGGTTTAGGCTAAATGTATTCAGCGCTGTTTTCCTATCTAAGCTATTCCGAGGACAGGGTCCTACACTCTGGGGGCGCCGACCAAGATGCACCAGCCGACGATGCCCAGGGCAGACGTGAGTTCAGGTTTAGGGTTTAGGGTTGGCAGTTTAGTAAAACCTACATCCGCGACCGTGACGATGACATCCAAGGATACGAACAAAAATCCAGGTGAGATCCAAACCCAAGTGCACGAAGGGCCACCCAGACCCTGACAGACTTTCGGTAACATCCACCAGCTCGCAGGCACGCTGGGATCACAAGAAAGAGCTCAAATGCGTCTGGCCTGGTGAGGAGTTGGGCAAACCAGCTTCATCCACAGGAAGATCGGCTCATGTTGGTGTATATTGCTGGATGTATGCATGCATGTACGTAGTTCTAGGCGCATGGGTGCATGAGTAAGTATATGTAAGTATCAGCCAAGTCATGTCGTTATCTTCTTCTTTGTGTATGTGTATACATATGTACATATGTACATATGATAACATGTACATATATATATATATGAGAATATGTGTGTATATATACACACACATGTGCTTATACACGTGTGTATGCACTTCCCCGTTCGTTTTTAAGCAAGGCATTTCCAAGGTTTGTGACGGAGGAATGTACAAAGTTGGCTCCATCAACACATCTTCAAGGCTGACGGACCAAACTACACAAATTCAAAATCTTCTTTTGGGGTTTAGGGTTTAGAGTTTAGGCTTGTTTCTTGCGTTGCGATTCTGGGACCTTGCGCTCAGCTCTGTTAATTGAAGTTCATGTCTAGCGGCGCCATCCATGACCCGACACGTTCAACGCGTCTGAGCTCGGGCAATCAACTGCAGTCTGCAGAGGAACTCAAAAGGCGTTGCCAGTCAGGTCGACAAATGGCCACCAGTGTTAGATATATACATCCTTACAGCACTTGACGTAGATACGTTATGTACAATGTATACAGTACACGTTTATAGATTTATGCATGTATGTACAAAGGTATGTACGTGTATGTATACATAAATATATATATATATATATATATATATATTTATTTATTTATATATACATACATATACATATACACAGCACATATAAACAGGTGTTGCTGCGTCCGTTATTCTCTGTTAAACCCACAAGATACATATCGTTTCAACTCAAGAGAAACCCTAGCCACTGACACCACGCCTACAGGCAGTTCATGACGAGACCACAGCTGCATCTACTACCTACGATCTACCACCTACTACTCCTTGCTACTACCTGTTTCCTTAAGGAACTCAAGCAACAAAACTCAGATTTCGCCAACAGATTCCCAAAAGCCGAAGTCAACCTCCACGAACCCAAATCCTTGAGCCCCTAAACCTCAGCAACACCTAAACCATGCTAAACCCTAAATCTTAAAGGCTTCTATAGGGGCTACCCTAAGGGCCCAATATAGGGGCCTTAATAATTAGAATAGGGTTTTGGGGTATATGATACTATAACTAGAAGAAGGAACCCTTAGGGCACCTGGCGATAACTGAGCACTGAAACCAATCGGAGCGCTCTGGCCTCGCGGCAGCTCAGAGCGACGTGGCGGTGCTGGAAGGAGTAGCAAAGGCCAGGGAACCTCACTTTGCCGTGCTTTGAAGGTTTCGGATTTAGGGGCTTAGGGCTTAGGGGCTTCGGGTTTAGGTTCCAGGATTTGGAAGACGAGGGTTTAGGGTGTAGAGTTTTAGGGCTTAATTAGGGCTCCAAACTTCCAGACAAGCACAGCTCTGGGTAGAAACCCGGTCAAGGAGGCCACATAAACCTAAAGATACACACCTTCCTGCTTCAACCCTAAACCCTAAACCCAACAAAACAAAAGCAAACAACTACAAAACCACCGAAACTACGCACACCCAAACCCCAAACCCCCAAACCCAAACCCTAAACACACAAAAAAAAACCTTCTAGAACCCGTTTATAGTAGCCCCTTAAAGAATCCTTACAAGAACCCGTATCTATACTGAACATGGGACCCGTGCAAAAACTGTCATTTTCTGTTTCTCAGTGACTAGCGTAACCAACAATTAAGATTTTTTTCGAAGCAACCCCAAAACTTTCAACCCAAAACCTGAAACCCAAAAACGAAAACCCCTATAAACCCAAAACCCCAAAACCTGAGTTTATCGAAGGTTTCCCTAAACCCTAAAACCCTAAACCCTAAACCCTAAACCCCTAAAACCCTAAACCCTAAGTTCATCTTGGGCTTCCGGACGGAAGACTCCAGGCCCTGTGCCGCCTCGGCCTTGGCAACGTCGGCCTCTCGGGGGCTTCGCGTTTGAAAAAACACTGTGGTCATGCGACATCGTCGTGGTAGTAACAGCAGTAGTAGTAGTAGTAGTAGTAATAGTAGTAGTAGTAGTAGTAGTAGTAGTAGTAGTGGTAGCAGTGGTAGTAGTGGTGGTGGTGGTGGTGGTGGTGGTGGTGGTGGTGGTGGCGGTGGTGGTGGTGGTGGTTGTGGTGCTGCTGGTGGTGGTGGTGGTGGAAGTAGTGTAGTGGTAGTAGTGGTAGTAGTAATGGTAGTAGTCGTCGTCGGGGCGTCGTCGCAGCAGTTCTCGTGGTAGTACCCGTTGCCGTCGCCGTCGTCGTACTGGCAGGAGTAGTACCCTTCAAGGAACCCTTGCAGGAACCCCAAATGTGGCGACCTGAGTCTGACTCTCGATGGCAATGATATCGTGCTGGTCGAGGATGCGCCGAGCCTGGCCGGCCCCGGGGTTTCGGGCAATAAGGATTCGGATTTAAGGGTTGAGGGTCTCGCGGTTTAGGGATTTAGGGGTTAGGGTTTGGTTTAGGGCGCAGGGCTAAGCCTGGTTAGGCATGTTAAGGGCCCTACTCGGGATTGAAGATCCGAGCTTTTTGCCAAGACCCCTCTGCCCTTGGAAAGGTTTGGTTTCCGTTTTATACTCTTTTATAGAAGAATCAACGTTCATGTGGTCGTTCGGTCGGTGGGCTAAAAGGTTGGAACTCCTTGTTCTTCGCACTGTTAGAGACCTCACAGCCTCCGAAATTTGTATAGAACTATGCCCTTCCCCAAAGGGCCCTATGTACCTATATGGTGGCATGTAGGGTTTCTATATAAGGAATTACACTTATGATTTAGGGAAGTATCCCCCTAGGACGCTTCGAGTTCCTCCATACCCCGAACCTTGATCTGGTCTTCGCAAAGACTCGAGGTCAATCTTCAGCCCCTAATGTAGGGGCCTTAATAAGTAGAATTGGGTTTTGGGGGCCCGTTATATACGATAATAATAATAACAATGATGAACCCTCAGAGTAGTATTGGTAATTATTCAGGCCCCTACATTCACCTCCCCACTGTTGCATTCTAGGGCTTACGGCCTGGGGTTGAGGGGAGCTCGGCGTTTGAATCAGCTTGCGAGTCCATGATGCTCCCTAAACCCTAAACCCTAAACCCTAAACCCTCAACCCCTAAACATTAGGGCTTCAGCCGGACTAGGCTCCGGCCCGAGCGTTCAAGTCTTCGGGACCTGCGTCGGAAGGATTCGAAGAAAAGGGCGTGTCCTTTCAAAGCTCACCTTAATCCTAAGAGCTTCTTCTTCCCCTCTTAGACCCCACCCGAGATTGTGGGAATATGGGACATGATAGTCCCGATGATCCCTATCAGCCCCTGAACCCAACCCTAAACCCTAAACCTGCGACCTTAACCCAGCACCCTTGTACCTTAAGCCCTGCAGTGGCTGGAGATGCAAAACCCGAAACCCATGGTCGCCTCCATGGACTCGTTTGCAGCTTCGAGTGCTGCCTCCGCTAGTGGCGTCGGCAGGGAGTTTCAGGGTTTAGGGTTTAAGGCTTCAGGAACTCGGTTTGGGGCTTTAGGAATTCAGGTTTAGGGCTTTAGAAATTAGGGTTCAGGGTTTAGGCTGCAAGGTTCAGGACCTTGATTGGCGATTTACGGCCTTCCAGATAGTCTTAATACTGTTGGCTGACTGCCAGTAAGATCAAGCTCATCACTGTATATATCAAGATACCCATTAAAATCTCTGTTAAGGTAGGGCTATTTATTGTTGGGGGATGCCCCTGCATCTCTGGCAAAGCTCGGTTCCCTGCAGGCTCACCCCACTCTCAGTCCAAACTTCAACTCCGCCTTCGAAACAACATGCATCCAGCATAGTAGAAGCCGTAAAGTTGGAACATTATAACCCTCATGCCATTAGGGTAGAGCATAAGGGATCCGAGTAGCTATCATCTTAAGCCCATGTCCAACTTTTTCTGGGGTTCCATGTACTGCATACTTAATCCTGCCCCCTCAACCGCTATCAACCGTCGCATACCTTGACCCGATATTTCTGCACCTCAACTTCACTAACTCAGTCGCGGAGCAACATATTGTATGCTCAATCTCAGCATCCCAACATTGCAGAAGCGCTCGCCCACCTCTGCAGACTCTTTTGAGAGCTCATTGGCCCTCTCCGCATGCTTCCATGCCTGCTGCCGACTACGCTAAACTACTAGAACCCATGAACTCTTTATGGGTAGCTCTGAAAATGAGGGTCCCTCTTCTGTCCCCAGCATAGGACGGCACCTTTATTAAAAAAAAAAGATCCTAAAAAAAGGGACCCTGGTTTAGAGAAGTATCCAATATGTAGAGGAGCCTGAGTCCCTGACAGAGAATGTGTCGGGAACTTGCCACACTAGTCCGGGGTTATTTAAAGGCTGCAGGTGGGGAGTTTAGGGTATAGAGGGCTTCTCTAAGGCTTCTATAACGTATATAGACCTTCCATAAGGCTCCTATAACGGTAACTACCCACCTGAAATTGTCCTAGACAGTGTCGAACTGGCTTAGTCGAGGCTAAGCCCGTGCAGGTTCGGCTTTTCTCTCAAAGCTTGAAGGCTTCTGCCGCTATGGTGTAGAGTCCCTGAACACTTAGAAGCTCATAAACCCTAAAGCCTAAACCCTACACCCCAGACCCGAAACCCTACAGCCTAAACCCTAAAACCCTAAACTCTAAACCCTACACCCTGGACCCTAAACCCCACAGGCTAAGCCCCGGGGGCTAAGGCTCTTCCTAGTCTTAGCATTCGCTCGATGATATGCTGAAGGCTCGCGCAAACCAAGGTTCCTCCAACTGGTGAAACTCCAGATTGACTATTCCACTGTAGTTCCTGTTTTGGTGTCACCAGCTCTGTATTTAGACTCCCATAAGGTAGCCAAAACAGGAATTATTCTATTCTTAGTTGCTGAGTTCATAAGCCCCAAGAAGCTTAAACTTTCAGTTCCATAGGGGATAATATTTGTCCCTAGAAGTGTACATAAAGTATGCTATGTGTTAGATTTGTTCAGGGGTTCAGCGGCTTCAGGGTGAAAGGATCTTTGGCTAGTGCGCAAAATGCACTGTGGCTGACCAGCGTTGCTCTGACATGCCCAGTTTTGAAGTATGCTCAGTTCAGAATCGTTTTGAATTGTTTGTCAGAAATCTTGTTCCAACAAGTCGACAGAAACTTTGTCACCATCCGACCTTCGTAAGGCTAAACTGAAATCTTCTTCTCAATCCAATTTCTTACCCAACCTACTCTGGATCCCGTCTCTAGAAGTGAAGCATTAAGCCCTTAACCGTAAACCAGCTCAGGATACAAGAGATTGAAAGATCGTACGCGTCGCCAAAGTCCTGCAAGCACGCCTTACAAAAGCAAACGGCGAAGAAACCCGTATTAATCCTAAACCGTAAACTTCAACCTAGTTCCAAAGCCCAAAAAGCCAAACCCTGAACCCTAAACCCTAAAGCTTAAACCTCGAGCAAAGCCACCGGTCACCGGCCCCTGGGCACCAAGAATATCCGAACCTCGTGGATGGCATGCTCCCGGGCCTCAATGGCTGTTCGCTCTTCTAGGGTTTGAGGGTCGTGGCTTCCTGTGATCACACTACAGGCATTAGGAGCTTTGGGAAAGAGGGTGTTCGGCTAGGGTTTAGGGTTTAGGGTTTAGGGGGCAGTGCTCGAGCAACTAGGACCTGCGGTCGGATGTGTGCTCAAGCGACCAGGCTTTTGGCATCAGGAACATACCTTAAGCCACCAGCCTGACTCGTGTGCAGGGTCCATACACGAAAGCTTCAGGGCGTAGTAGGCACCTCTAGGTTAAGGCTAAAGTATGATGTATGTCTCAATCTTTGCCAAGGATGAGGAGTTCAAGATGGCGGGGGCTACAAAGCACAGGGAGGGTTGAAGACAGCCTGAAACGACACTGCTTGCTAGAACAACATAGGATCCCGTGCCACGGGGACTGTTGGTTTGGGTTGGGGGTCCAAGCTGCACAGCTTCTGCAACACTGCCCAGCAATTCGTTCTCCGATACTTCACGCTTCTCCAGAAAAAGGCCCGGACGGAATATGCCAGCACATCTGCGGATGCCTCCTTCGACTCGTCCTGAACTTTGCAGTCGCTGAGATTGGGAGATGTTTCCGAGGACGCACGCACTCACGCAGATTCCGACCTCAGCCCTGAAACATAAACCCTAAACTCTGCATTCCAAAGCGGTGAACGCCGCTTTCGAGTTCATGATACAGCTCTGTGGACTTGGTCTGTGAGTCTCCAAGAAAAATTCGGGCTCAGAGCTTTGCTGTAATTTGAGATGGAAGGCTTGGAGCTTCACAGATTGAGCTTGAGCATCACCCAAATTCCTGCTACACCTTAGTTATGTCGATGTGTTTATGTCTTCATCTAGCCATCTGTAACATCTACTGCTATGGTCGATGGATGTATCTACATACATATTTACATACATACATTACATACATACACACATACATACATACATACATACATACATGCATGCATGCATACATACATACATCATGCATGCATACATACATACATCATGCATGCATGCATGCATGCATGCATGCATGCATGCACGCACATGTATATACGTCTTGCATGGCTTCAGTATTCTGAGATTCCTGGCCAATTGGATGGCGCAAGGTCACTGGTGGTCTGCCCCCGGGTCTTGGACCGTATATATATATATATACACATATATATATATATATATATATATGTATATACATTGTCTAAACAGATATGTACGGACACTTTGCTTGAGCTCTGGGTCCTGGGGTGGCGTCTTATTATCCGCAGCTCCAATTTCCATTGTTTCTATAACGCCCCTCCTGGGCATACTTGGTTCAATCAAGACGATCTCGGTGAAGCATGGGGATACGGAAGCTCGAGTGTAGTTGTGTGCAGGGTTCTTCTAATTTCGGATAGTTTCTCTTTCAGGCAACCCTAAACCCTAAACCCTAAACCCCGGGATGAACTTCCTTTCGGAACGTAAACAAAGCTGGCCGAAGGCCTTCTTCAGGGACTCGGGCTACGAAATCGGATCTCGCTTGGTGACCGTTTATTTTTCGTACCAAACATAGGCGTGCCCCCAAACAAGGGTTTAGGGTTTAGGGTTTAGGGTTTAGGGACAGGAAGGTAATATCAAATTGACGACTAAGCATTGCTCGGTCGAGAAGGCCAGCTCGAGCGGAAACCAGAGTAATGGGGGCCAATTCATGCACGATCATGCCATATCTCATTTTGGTTCGCAGACGCTCAGTAACCCCAGCACAGGATAAAAGACCACGACCTCTAGCTCTCATGCACAATAATACTAAATGACTTTCGTTGCTCATGTCAGTATGTGTAACACTAAAAGAGCAATACCTTATCCACCTATCTGCCTACCTCACGATATATATATAT